TTCCAATCAGCTTTTGAGTTTTCAACCAGTTTACACTTTTAAATATAAGCCAACAATGCAAGATCGCCAGACATCTGAAAGAAGCCTCGAATGTGAAGGACAACACAAAGACAAAGAGAAATACAACTGCAAGAAAGCAGAGACTATCCTCTAAGGGGAAAAACGTATTTAACTCTAATTAACAGCCTACTTATAAAAATAACTAACATTAATATCTTCAAAAAGATAAGAAAGATATTACATTCATGAAATGAAAACATCATACTAAAATTAAAGAAATATTCAGAGAACAAAAAGGATCACTTGGAAATTATACTAGTGATATAAGATGATTTTCATGGAAAGGTTGAAAGATTATGTTGAGGATATCATCCAGAAAATAGAGCAAAAGATAAAGAAATGGAAAATAGGAGAGAAAAACTAGGAAATTTAGAAGACCAGTCCAGGTAACCCAATATCCAAATAAGTTCTAAGAAAGTTCTAAGATCTAAGAAAAGAAGTTCTAAGAAAAAAAGAAAGGAAGAAATCATCAGTGAAATAACTCGAGAACATCTCTCAGAACTGAGTGACATGAATTGCCAGGTTGAAAGGGTCCACAAATGTCTGACACTATGAATGAAAATAGAACCGCTCCAGGCCTGTCATCATGACATTTCAGAACACTTGGAACAGATGCCACTATAGGCTTTCAAAGGATCGAGGCACAGAACAGCTTCAGACAACAACATTGGGAGGCAAGAGCCAGTGGATGAATTCCTTCAAACTTCTGAGGGAAGATGATTTTAACCTAGAATTCTATAACCATCTGTTCTGGTTATCTAGTGTTGTATCACAAAGTACTAGAAAATTTAGTGGCTTAAAACAACAACAATTTTTATTCTCTCTCACAATTTGAGGGATCAGGAATTCAGGCAGAGCTTGGCTGGCCAATTCCTCCTCTCCACGTGACACTGACTGTGGTTATTCGATGGTATTCACCTAGCGGCTGGGCTGCAGGGTCCAAAATGGCTTCACTCACATAACTGGTGCCTGGGAAGGGGTGACTAGAAGGTGGGTTTAACTGGGTCCCTCTTCCTTTCTGGGTGGGGCCCCTTTTTTTTTTAACATACTTTAACTTTTGAGCAGTTTTAGGTTTACCGAAAAACTGAGCAGAAATTACAGAGTTCCGATGTATCCCCTCATCTCCTCCCAGATTTCCCCTATTATTAACATCTTGCATGAGTGTGGTGCATCTGTTATGAAGGAAAAGCCAATATTGATACATTATTCTTAACTAAAGTCGATAGTATACATTAGGGTTCACTCTTTGTGTTGTATATTCTATGGGTTTTGAAAATGCGTAATGACATGTATCTACCGTTTTAGTATCATACAGATTAGTTTCACTGCCCTGAAAGCCTTCTGTACTCCACTTATTAATCCCCCCACCATGCCCCCTGCTGCCTCCTCAAACTCCTAGAAACCACTGATCTTTTTACTGTCTCCATGGTTTTGACTTTTCTAGAATGCCATATAGTTAGAATCACACAGTATGTAGCCTTCTCAGATTGGCTTTTTTCACTTAGGAATATGTATTTAAGGTTCTTGTATGTCTTTTCACAGATTGATAGCTGATTTCCTTTTATTGCTGAATAACAACCCATTGTATGGATGTACCACAGTTTGTTTATCCATTCACCTACTGAAGGGCATTTTGGGTGCTTCTATGGCAGGGCCTTTATACATAGCATCTCCAGCAAGGTAGTCAGACTTCTTTCATGATGGATCAGGGCCCCAAGAGACCAAAGTTGCCAGGTATGTCAAAAGCAAGGCCAGAACTAGCATTGGGTCACTTCCACCATACCCTATTGGTCAAAGAAGTCACAGGACAGCCAAGATTTAAGGGTAGGGGTGTCAAAGATAATGAGGCCATCTTTAACCCACCATATCAGTCAACGAGAGGCAAAGTGATGATCCTAGAGGCTCATTTCCTCCTTCCTATGTGTAGCTGAGCAAGAAGTTGATTCCTCATGTTTGAGACTCCTCTTGTTTAACAAAATGATTGCTTATACCAGAAATCTATTATTATTATTACACAGTGACTTATAAGTACCAGAACCCACTTTCCTTAAAAATATGTAGGGTGTCCTGGATGTGTCTAGTCTAGCTTTTTCCTCTCTAAGACATCTCTTTGAAATAATGAGAGTTGAGAGACCAAATGAACACTGCTACTTCTCTAGTTGAAGTTTTTCCTTAACAAGTCCTATTAACCCTCTGTATGTTTCTAATTATAGTGCAAACTATGTTTCTGGGCCCATTTTACACCTCACCAGCAACACCTCACCACCTTACACCTCACCAAGTCAAAAAATAAAAAGATTTTCAGATATACACATGCTAAAAAAAAGAGACTTCCCACACAGCCTTCAAAATTTATTTAAAAGTATTTCCCATCAAAAACAAGAAAAATGTGGTCTTCCAGGATATAGGAGGTCTAACAAGCCTGAAAGAGGTAAAGAGAATCCCCAGGAGGATGAAGAAGGGAGCTCCCAGGATATCTGCTGTGCACCAGGGTGAGGACAACAAGTCGAGAGGAAGCAGGTCAAGAAGTTCCTGGAGAGACTTCCACCAAAAGATGAAATTAATAAACTATCTGGTACATCGGAGCATATTGAAAGGAGATCAAACAACTGTAAAAGATTTGAGGGTGAATTGATGATAAATAGTTAGATAATTAAGCAAAGAAACCAGACACAGCTACTAACTCCAGCGAGATAAAAGAGTTGTGAAGGGAAGAAAAAGAAATCATAGATCATTTGTAACTAGCTAAATCCAGATAGTGGGAAGTGAGTAGATAATGCCAAAGACTAAAAATCAAGATGTGGCCTTGAAAGTATACTGTTTAGAGATAAGGAAGAAAATACCCAAAGACTCAGTCAATTAAGGTTGAAATTATTTGCCTCTGGGAACAGAGAAATGGGAGGGGTGGGGGATAGTATGGGATGGCTGTTTATCACTACAAGCCTTATAGACATAAATAGCTAAACTGTTTGGTTCTATAAGGCTCACCACCTTAAGTCTTTGTTCAGGTTCACCTTTTCAGTGAGGCTTGCTCTGATCACTCTAATACAAGTTTCTCTGCTTCTCTTTTTTTCATAGCACTTATCACCTTCTATCATCCTCTATAATTTGCTTATTCATGACATGTAGTGCTTTTTCCTGCTAGAATGTCAACAATACAGGGGCAGGAGTCTTTGTCTTTTTCATTTACCAATATGACCCAGGTGCCTAGAACAGTGCCTGGAACATAGTAAGGTTCAATAAACATCACTCAAGTAAAATGAATTTGATTTTCTAAACTATGTGCATAGGTAGCTTTGATTTTAAAAAGTAAAATAGGGCCAGCCCCATGGCCAAGTGGTTAAGTTCACGCTCGCTGCTTCGGTGGCCCAGGATTTCGCCGGTTCGAATCCTGGGCGCCAACATGGCACCACTCATCAGGCCATGCTGAGGCGGCATTCCACATGCCACAACTAGAAGCACCTACAACTAAAATACACAACTATGTACCAACGGCTTTGGGGAGAAAAAGGAAAAATAAAATCTTTAAAAAAAAAAGTAAAATAAATCATTCACCTCAAAACTCCACCATAAAGCAAAAATTCCATACTTAAAGTATTGCTCAGACATCTTGGTCTTCTATGAAGAAATACTATCATTAGTTTTCTCAGACTTCAAAAAGAATATTACTGTTAGTACATTCCAAGTGCCCAAACCTGGTACACACTTACCTTTCTGAAGCACTCAAGCAGTTGGCAAGTACGATAATACAATCAGTGAGAGTTACATAACACTTAAAAATAAATGGTGATTTACGTAAGGTTGTGAGATAGGAAGTTATTATGATGAAGAGAAGATACATCTGAGGAGTAAGTGAATACTTCTGAGTTTAATTATTATTCATTCCTTTATACCTAGTCTTATTTCAAAAAGGATTTTAGGAAGCCTATAAAAGTATAGAGAATATAACATTAAATTACATTTAAATTAAATTAAAGCTTAGCAAAAGACGATAGAAAATCAAAGATATGACAAAGAGGAGCCAAGAAAATGACTGAAAATATGTGCAGTTATAGCCGGATACTGGTCACAAATTTGTCTCTAAACTTTGAGTCCATTAGTATTAGATTCAGCCACAAGTGGCAGAGAGACTCAACATATAGATGGTTTAAATAAGAGAAGACGTGAGTTTATTTCTCTTACACATGAACGTTCAGAGATGTGCACTTCAGGTCTGAGATGGGAGCTCAATGCCACTGGTCCTCAGGGATCTAGGGTCCTTCCAGCTCACCCCAGTTCCCCACATAGAACTTACCCCTATAGTCCAAGATGGTAGCATTCCTCTTGTGGGCAGCAGAATGGAGACAGGGGACAAAGAAGGAGCAAGAGTCACCTGCCAATTGTTTCCTAAGAAACATTCCTAGAAATTGCCACTTCCATCTCATTGTCCAGAACTTAGTGAAGTACCACTCTTAGCTGCAAGGGAAGCTGAGTAAAGCAGTCATCATTCTGGGCAGACATATGCCCTACTAAAACTTCTATTAAAATGGACGAAGGGGATAAATGGATCTGAACAGCTAGAGCATCTGCCATGGCTTCATAGCAACGGAAAGAAGAAAGGGAACATGGTCAGGTTCAAAACAACAGAGCTGATAAAGAGGACCAATTGCTCAAGAGACGTACAGCAGCTCTTTGTGAAAAGATTAGAAAGGGATGACCCTAGAGGTTTTCATTAAAAAAAAGTTTGATCTCACCACTTTGACTCAACCCATTTTGTAGGCCTGTTTCCTGTAACAACTCTTAATAATGCATTGACAGTTTGCAGAAAACATGTCTGCAGATATTTGATTTTCTGAGTTTGTCTTCACCACGTTTTTAAAAATCATAATAAAAACATGATTCTTTCAACTTCATCATGTGAATGTCCTGACATTAAATATACACATATATATTTGTTTCAGAATTACAGAAGACTCTATTTACCTTCGTTTACGGAAAAGAAACCGCTGCAATCACAGGGACTACCAGAATATTTCAAAAAATGGTATGTAGCTTTCCACCGAAGTCTTGACCAATGTGCATTTAATGACTGGTTTTATTTTATAAGTACCACAAAATCTGAGAATTAGCTAACAAGGACCACAGACTGTTTCCCTTTCCAACACCACTGCCCTTTCTGAGAGAGGGCCCTGGGCTTAGAGCCTCTTACCCACAGCAAAAGAGAACAAGAACAAGATGCAGTCAAGGCATAGACCCAAGAAGCAGGTCAGTCATCCAAGAGGAAAGTTCTAGAATGGCCAAGGTTCAGGGCACTCAAGGCTCAGGAGGCGAGATCTGAGTGAGCATTAGCAGAACAAGTGCTGAGCAAAGTCAAAGTCATTCATTGCAAAGGCTCTGCTCTCCCCTATAGTGCAGTTTCCCACATTTCTACTGGGATCAGAGTTTTAAGAAAAATAGCTAAGTGTTTGTGAGTGAAATCCCCAAAGCCATTAAGGAAAGGGAATTTTTCAGAGTGTTATCATTTTGTAGGACTGTTTCTTGCAACAATTCTTAATAATGCATTGACAATTGCATTGGAAGTCATTCCAGGTCGCCATCAGCTTCCCATGTTTCCCAAGACATCTGTGTCTTCTGGGCTTACTTCTTACCTGTATGGTTCTCACCTCCCACCTGGGACCCAGATGCAGTCCATTGCCACAAGATTGCAGTGAAGCTTCTGATTGATAAACCATGGCCTGGCTAGTGCCTAATGATTTTCCAAGTAATGTTTTGTGACACCAGAATGCAGAAATGGCAAACACTTTATGTGTGTGTTGCCACTCCATCTTTCTAAGTCTGGGGAAGATATTACTGATCAACCTTGGCACTCTTGTCTGCTACACTCAGATTCCACCTAAGCAATGCTCCTAACGCAGCACACCTGACAGTCATCATCGACAGATTAGACTTGGCACATAAAGTTAAACTTATTTGCCATCCCTGTGCCACCTCTAATTAACAAGACTGCTAAGGAATTTTCCAGGCAGTACAAGCTTTACCTAAATATATGACCTACAAATAATGTATTTCTTATATATTCTACACAGAATAAATATTCTATTCCAAGAACTATATAATTTTTTTACTAATAAAATAATAGCTGATATTTATTGAGCTCTTACCAACTGCTAAGAACACTTTATGTATAATATTTCAGCTAATCCTTTCAACAAACTGTAAGGCAAGTATTATTATATTTCTTCAGTTCCAAGATACCACTGATTGTAATAACTCTGGGGAGTGTTAAGGGAGAAAAAAGGAAGGAAAAATTACACTGTACACATTGACTGCAGCACTCAACCCAATATCAAATGTGTTAAAATATATTTCTCAGAATTGAGGAATTATAATGATATCCACACTGTTACAGCTGAGAAAACAGAGGCATAGAGAGACCAAGAACCTTGTCCCAGATCACAGAAATAGCAAGTTGCAGAGCTGGAATTCATACCCAGTTTGTCTCACTCTACTCAAACACCAACAAAGATAATACAGTCACTAGTCTGTGATCAGAGATGATCTACAGAGAGCGATTGGCCTCACCTCTCTGCATGTGAACACAACCAACAGATCATTGGAAAATTATCATCAAACCCGGCAGAGAATCATCGTAGACACAAAGTGGCTATTGGCCCCTTTTTGTACTTTCTCTTTTCCTTCAGTGAGATATTCAAACAGCTCTCATGCTGTCAAAAGCTCTCTGTCGATGTAGACTGTAAAAAACAAAGAACAAAACACCAGTGTGGAATATTATGCAGCTCTAGAAAATGATGGTGAAAAGTCCATATATTTTTACTTAGGAGGACAAAACGCTTCCAAAAGAAAAATCAGGATATAAAATTGGATAGTAGAGTTTAATCTACTGTATTTTATAAAATAAAAGAAAAAACTAGCTGTACATAAGAAGATTGGTAGAAAATATGCCAAAATCATTATGTTTGATAGATTATGGATGATTGCTTTTTTCTTTTATTTTTACTTTTCTGTTTCCCAAAGATTTTACTTTTATATAGAAATAACCTTAGGAAAAAAAACTCTAGAAAGAAACTGAATCTAAGAACAGTAAAGTCTTACCCAACATCCCAGAGCCGAGGGTACCAGGTTAGAGTGAGGAAAAAGCAATAGGATTCTGCCAGGACCGCCGACCATCAGCTGCTCTCTCTGTGTGCCTACAACACAGTGTTTCTCTCTCTCACAAGACCCAGACATGTCAACTCAACATCACTTTCTACCCACAATGTATACAGCAATCTCTTGTGAAATCAAAAAGACCAAAGTAAGATATTCCAAAAAGTACTCAGTACCCTTTTTAGTAGATATTTCTCCTTTTGTGGTATGCTGTCTTGACAGCATTCCTTTAAAATTCAGTTTGTGGAGATAAAAAGGGAAAAAGAAGATGGGAGGAGAGTCTAATCATGAACAAACATGCACATACAAATTTGATGGAGACCTGGGCTTCTGTCAGATTTTTGTCTAATGAATAGATGTGGGCGGGGGGGGGGGATTCTTTCTTTCCTGTTTTTAAAATTTGCAACCCTTAGAAATACATAGAGTGTATATTTTGTCTAATAGAACTTCTCTGAAGATGTATCTTTATTTTTCTAAGGATGTAATTCTAAAAGGTTTTTTTTTTTTTAAGTTTCTCATAGTTACTCATAATTCAATGTTCTGGTTTTATTCTCTGGCCCTTCTTCCTAGTTTCTCTTGCTTTTCCTCACTCTGGATTTTCTTTTAATATGCAGCATGTAACCTGACCACACGCCCCAAGTTATTTCAATTACTCCCCAAGGTTTTTATTAGATATAGGAAAAGTCAGCTTTCTACATCCTGCATATTTATGGCTACACATTTTTCAGAACCAGCAAAAAAGAGTTGAATGGAATATTAAAGAGTTTTTTAAAAATTGTAGGGTAAGAATTAAAGAAACAGCTCCTATTTTCCTCTTGAGGTTTATGTACAAGATCTCAAAAATTCTGTAGATACCTCCATCATAAACCATTGCCACTGATTATAAAGCATTTTAAATTATAAAATATTGAAGTCATCTTTAATTTGGTTTACTGATTCTCTGGCATGGACAGTGAGGCACGGCAAGGCTCCTGCTAAATCTTCTTACAGTTTGCAAAGAAGATGCTTGGCAGTGGCTCTTACACATTCCAACCTGCCAATCAGCCCAGGTGAGGGGGGCCAGTGCCTGAAGGAGGAAGGTTCAAAACACAACATCACCTCACAGAATACACCTCACAGGTGCTCCTCACAGAACATCACCTTCCTGCCCGGAGATGAGAAGTGAGGCCAAAGAGCAGATATCTTCCCTTCCTTGTTGCTTTGTAAAATATCCTTCTTTCCTCGCAGTATAAAATAGCAGGCTGGTTTTGAATTCAGGCCCGGGAATTGGTGTGTAACTTGGACAAATCATTTAATTTTTCTAGGCTGTTTCTGCATCTATAAAATAGGGGTCATGGTTCAATGAGCACAATTGCCAAAGGCAACCCCGGGGCCTCATTCTGGGTTGCCAAGACAACAAGCCAGCTCCAGGGAGCCATCTTCACCCCACCCTCCAGGGGAGAGGCTGCACCCAGACTCAGTGGGATGGTGGGATGATGTAAGTTTGCCCTTTCTCCCATAAAGTCGATTCCTTAAAATACATCACATGATATTGTGGAATTCCTCACGAAGGCCGGATGGGGCCCACTTTGCCCAGTAGGGATAATAACCAGTCCACACCTGAACTTCATGGGGCTACTGTAAGGATGAATGGGAAAAATGCAGTGCTTCCTAAATGTCCACCATCATTGCTAACACCACCTACCAACTGTTCTACTATTTACTCAGCATTTAAAAAAATCAGTCACTTTTTCAATGGAAATGGGTTTTTTAAGGAAATAAGCAGATTTGGAAAAAAAAATTTAAAAGACGCATGCCCATGATGGGAAGGCCTGCGGCTCTAAGAGTTTGAGGGCAGAAAGAGAGGCATCTAGGGTTGGGTCTCCAAGCCCCTAGGGACAGGAGCAGGCAGGAAGGTAATGGGGATGGGTGAGGAGCAGTGGACCCAACCTGGAGAATCGGACAGAAAGAAGGGAGGTCTTGGAGGGAAAACCTGGGCAGGAGGAGGAGCGGGAAGTGAAGGAAACTGGTAGTTGGCAGGTCTGAGATTGACAGAGGGGAGCTGGGTGAGGGATACAGGAAAAATGAGTGGGACTGCGGAGGGAGCCCTGGGGAATGGGACATGGGTGCAGCCTGGGAAGCGGACTCAGGGCTCCCCTTGCAAGGCTGGAGGAAGTGTAAGATGAGAGCAGGATTAAGTTGGAGGGGAGTAAGAGCTGAGGGTGGGGGAGATGAGGACTCTGAGGATGGGTGGGGCAAGGGATGGAAGCTATAGGGTGGAAGGGACTGGAGAACAAGCCCTGGCTGGTTGAGTTGGGAGTTCTAGAACATGCTGGAAGGAGGAGAAGCAGATGAGGGGTTTCACCTCTCTAGAAAAGATGATCACCCCTCAGAGACTAGAACTTTAAGCATGGATGCCAGCTGATATCCAGCTAGGGACGCCAGGGTGGCAAACATGGACCCCGAAACCACCTCCGATACCTGTGCTGCATGTTCCACTCTCTCGGACCTCGGCTTTGGGCCTCAGGGCCTCATGCTCAGTGCAGACTCAGTGAATATTAGCTTTTATTCAGCCCTCACTGTCCGTGCCTGACCTTGTTCTCCCCTCACTCACATGCCCAGCAGAGCCCCTCACTGTCCCGTTACACAAGCCTCCGTTCCTGCCTCTGCTGGGCACTTTCCTCGGCTTGTAGCTGCTTTATTCGCTTTGAGTCTGGCTTCCCAGTCTCACCATGCTCCAGCACTGACCGCAGCATCTGCTGCACATGGTGGGGACTTGTCAACCCGACACGCTTTTTTTTTTTTTTTTAACCCAAATGATTCCCAGGAGCTACATTTAAACTCTGAAGAGAGGAACAGCACAGACAGTAATCTTTTGCCAACCTAATCCCTCCATGG